GCGCTTAAGTTTAGTTTGTTACAAAACAGCTCTACAGCAGACCACCTCCTCTGGTTTTCCAACTTTCCAAGGAAGTGATGTCACAATTATGTACCTGCAGTAAATTGGGGGTAATAAAAAAAAAACCTTTCCAAGAGCTTCAAATATTTCTGGACATTCATCAGGTAGTTCTCAAAACAAAGGCGGAAACCCCTTTGAAAGTACCAGGCATTGCTACTTGCTGAACGGTGACATCTCCCACCCCCCACAAACCCTTCAAAGTGTATTTCCAGGTAATAGAACATTAGGAAATGAATAGCAGCGCTACTTGACTCTTTTAAATTAGAAAGCAGAGTTTAACCGCAAAACTTACATAAGAAAATCAAAACCCACGTGAAACTATGCAAATCACAGAGGGGGGTAAAGAGGGTAGGGAATTAATTTTAGGCACTGAATCTTAAAAGGTTGAAATTTACGTGGGGATTCCTATTTCTACAAATAGCCCATTCTCTTCAGGGAAAAAAAATTCAATAGAAGCTTAGGATTAAAGTTTTCTGTCCAAAATCTAACCAAGATAATTTACATGGGCTACCCAGTTCAAAAGACAGAAGTCTATGAAACAACTCCATTTGCAAAATATAGGAATGTACATTAAAAAACAAGGATCAAATATTTTTTAAAGTAGTAAAACATCAAAGTCACCTACTTGGAAAAAAAGCCATATTCAAGTTTTAAATTCCCTAATAAAAATATTATTTGCATAAAATTATAAAAGTAAATGATTAAAGTCACACAACCAATCACATCCTTGTTAGCTTCATGAATTTTGACAATTCATAATACACATCAAGAAATGTATTCTTGTCTTATTAAATATACAGATAATACAGCAAAACGTCTAAAAGTCTTTATTACTTAGTCACTAATAAGATACTGCAACAAATGTGAAAACACAATTTGAATAAAGAATACATTTATAAGCTTCAGACGATAAAGCATTCCATGCGACTACTGAAATAATTCAATAAATTTAAAGCAACTAAGGCAAGGATAAAAAAACTATAGCCCAACGAGAAAGCAATGTCTAAATATAAGCATACAGCTGGAAATCTTATATTTCAAGTGCAAAATAAAATATACAATTGTAACAAGCACAGTAACAAATACAAAAGTATATACTAAGTTTCATTCTCAGAATTTCCGGGATCCCAGGCTTGATTTTATAAATGCAGAAACTAACCATCGAGCAAAGGTTTTCATAAATCCTCTCAAAATCTCTAAAAAATGTCAGAGCACCCGTGGAAACAGAGGCAAATAAAATTATAAACTGAAGGCTATCATTCAAGGGGTCCGTTTTGCAGTTTCATCTAAAAATGCACATTTTTTCATTCATATAACTTTCTCAAATGTCTATTTACTATAATTTACTACAAGGCTCCTCTCTGGCCTTCAGTTACAAGTTCGGGTATCCGAGATTCTTCAAAGAAAAAATCTGCCTTGTATGTAAAATGGTGCAATGCAGCAATGGCTAAACCGACAAGGTCATTTTTCTAGAGAACAAAAACCTCCAATCTGAAGTTTATTGAGAGAAACACAGCAGCTTACAAGGAAGACCCCCTTGAATCAAGGTCCCTTACCTTGTGACTGCTCTGAGAGGCCTTAAGTCACAACTCAACTTTCATAAATTGCTACCAAAAAATTAGGGTGTGGCATATTAGCAATCTCAAGGTCACGCTTTAAAAACCGAATCCGAATTAGTCAAATTCTTAAAAATAAAGCAGACAGCTCTCCAGGTCTGTCCCGGTAAACAATGTAGGCTGAGGTTTCCCCAAAAATAAAGAAAAAAAGGAAGAAAGTTGATAGCTCATACCTCGAAGCATTGCTGTGGAGCGAACTGTCCTCCTCTTGGCTTTTGTCCTTATTTCTCATCATCTTTTAATTCTTAAATATTAAGGGGAAGGGGGAATCTGTGTTTGCTTTGAAGTCCTGTGCCCAGGTATTTACTGTCAAAAGTTGAAAGAAAGGTAAGGTCCCAGCTTCTAGCGATGATTTTTATTATTAGGAACGAAGTCCTGGCAATGTAACGATATTGTTATAATACAACAATGGTAAGCACCTCAAAAAACCCAACATATTACTAATTTTCCTTTAAAAAAAAAGGATAAACCAAGCAGGGATAATCATCACTATCAATAAGGAAAGTTTCTCAAAGTAACACACTGGATACAAATAACAATCTCTATATTATTGCGTCATCCAGTAATTTTTTCTATTCACGAAAAATAAAGCTAACTTAAACATATAAATCTTTCAAATGATCACGATTGTGCATGGACTTACCTGATCCATGTAGTAGGTCCAAAGCCAGAGTCCTAGCTAGCAAGAAAAAAATAGATCCCAAATGATCAAAAATAAAAACAAATTTCTCCGTTAAAAACCAAAAAAAAACACCAAAAATAAATAAAAAGACTCAAGTGTGTTCAGCGGCCAAAAAAACAAAGCAACAATTAATACTAAAACGGGTCCGGAAGATAAAAAAAACCTCATTAGGAGAGCGTACAAAAATGGAGGTGCGCCATGGCTTCTAAGCTGGGAAAAAACAACGACCTGGGCTCTCAGCACGGCTGCTGCTTTCCAACAAGGCTCGCAAAGCAAGCTCCTAAAAGCTGCTTTTCTCCCCAAAAAAAGGCTCGAATCGACCCCAGGAAGTCGCTAGGAGAGGCAGGGGGCTGCGGGGGCCCCCTGAGGCTGCCTGAAAGTTAGGGAAAGTTGCGTAAAGTGAGGGGAAGGCAGGCAGCTGAGCGCGCGCTCTCTAAGGCACCGCCGCCATCTAGAGCCTCCTTCCCAGCTCTGAGCTCTGCCTTTGATTGACACTCTCTACATTTACCCCACAACTCAGGTGATGTACCATAGACCCACCCCTTCATCTCAACCAAAAAAAAAAAAGATCCTCCATCCCAGGAAGCTTGAGGACCCCCACCCCCACACCTCCCTGCCCCTCCAGACCACCCCATCAGAGGGAGGGGGGAGGGTTTCTTAACCCCCTCTGGCACCAGCACCCTTTTTAAGCCAGAGACAAATGTAATTTGTTCCTTTTGTCTAAAGATCTGCTAAATATTACAGTCCTTGAGCTAAAATAACTTCCTCTCTGGACAGGAAGTAGTGTTTTATCAAGCCATTTTGAAAAAGGGATAATTCTTGGGGAATGGAAAGCCCAGTTAAATACTAATCTTTTAAAAATATGACCCCCCATGGGTAAAAATGGTCCCCGAATGAAAGCAAAAGCTGCATTTCGGAAATTAAATTCCAATCTTGCCTTCCTTATGAAAGCCTGAAAATTAATGGAAGGCTAATTTTATGGGGGGATTTTCCATCCCAAATGGAAAGGGGGGAGGGGGACAACTCAATAGCGCCTCCCTGGTGTTCACTTGCATTAGCGCAAAAATGGGCACAACTGGTTTTAACTCAAGAAATCTCGATTTTTCTTCCTTCACAAAATACCTTAACCCATTACAAAGCTTTGCAAAAATATAAATCATAAACAGTGAATTTACTTTCCACAGATTCAGGCAAAACAATTATTCCAATGCAGGTATATGGAAGCATCATGATCATCTTTTAAATACCAGCCAGACTCCCATTTCAAAACCGACACAACATACATATATACCCAAGACATCTTTCATATGTCAAGCTGTAAGTACATATTCACCTCAATAATGGCCAATTAATAGATAGTAAGATCTGATGGTGACTTATATTTCACAAGGCAAGTTCTAAATATCGAAACTGTAACATCTATAAAGTCGTTATTATCGAGGGGGGGGAAGCCACACATACAAATTAATTCACTTTTTTTTTCTCCCAACAAACACACTCCACAAAAGTATTTAGACATCCAAAGCAAATCAAACAAATCAACGTTTCTTATTCAACACCATAATCTTCCAGAACTCTAACCTTCCAAGACACATTTTAGAGTAAAACCGAACAAAAGCAATAATGTTGCAGCCAGGGAAATGTATCCATAACCGAAACCCAGTTTCAATTCTATACTTCCTACCCAAGAATTGTGTATCAAAATCAAAATTCTACTTTTGATTTAAACAGACTAAAGAGACTCAAAGAGAATCCTTCCAAGCACTCAACACAGTTCATGCACTCAACACAATGGTATTTGGCATTAATACTAAAAGCAAAATTGTTTACCACCAACCCCCCCAAATGTATTCAAGTTCAACTTCTCTTTGTTCCTTCTAAAATGGAAAATAAAATTCACTTGCCTATGAAAAGTCTACCATACCTTTCGTAAGTTACTAAAACAGATACTAGTTGATCTGCAAGAAATAAAATTCCAGTTTTCACCTGGAATTCAAACAAGTAATGACATGATACAATTCCTCTAGTATAACTCCAAATGGTATAGAGTAAGGGGAAAATGCCCTAATAATCCTATTTCACATATACATGAAATTATTGTCACCAAAATTATTTTGTCCTACAAACACATCTCAATAAATTAAAAAACCTTTTAATAATTATTAACTGTAAAAATAGGACAGATCAACTCAATTTAAATGTTCTGAGTATTATGTATTTTAAGATTATTTTATGCTTAACATTTAAAACACCGTTCAAAGGGATCTTTTCCATCAATACAAAACTCAAATACTAGAACCATTGTCAATTGTGAGGCAAAAGCTTATTTTGTTTGAAACTTTCATTAATGTATCATGGCAAATTAAAGATTCTATTATTATTCATTGATTTTTGGTAGTGTTTCACAAAGCAGCACCTTAACCAAGCAATCCTATTTGAAGCAAATAAATTTCCACACCTTTGTGAAAAAAAAAAGACATCTTAATCAACCAAGTAAAACATTTCCAGCACACCATTTTCATTTCACCAGTTTTATTCAGTCAACTTTACTGCCAGGCAACCATCAAGGTGAAAATATTAAGGCGATAACTTAGTAGTTAATAAAACTTGAGCTTGAAAAAAAAAAGCCAAAACTGAGAAACTTTGAAGTATTAGAAATTTTATTCAAGTTAACATTCCACAAGGTCGTACTCATACAAGTCAAACTACAAAATATTCCAGGTATACAGACTATCATCTGTGAAAATTTATCATCATCTCCAAATGTCAAAAATGTACTTGTTTTAATGATACAGTCTTTAGAAAATCAAATGAACTGTCCACTGGTAAGAAACCTATGTCTTCATTCATTTCATGAGCTCCATGTAAAAAGAACCCTGTCTGGGTTGCATATTATCACAGCACTCGTTTTAATCCATTTTCCTCAATCCCCCACAGTAGGCTGCCATCTTGATTTCTCAGTGGTAGGGTCCATTTGAGACTCTTCAAGCTGACTGGGTGCTTGATGAAAACATTAAAAGAAAAAATGCTGTTGGAATACCAATCATCTTATTTCTGCAAACAGAACATCCACCCACCTTGAAGATACCCTTACCCTACACAACATTTTAATTATGTAACAGCTTTAAAATATAGAACTTTATGACATAAAAGTGGTACATGTACCCCACACAATTTTCCAGTTGTGTGTAGGCCACAGTTACCAAGTTCTGCTGTCACTGATCCATGTGTAACCATACAAAAATGACAGGCAAGAGATGAAATGTAGTAATCCAGTTAGATATCTGTATACGGACTCCATAAGTAAAATCAAACAAAAATTTTAAATCAAACAAAACTAAACTATATATATGTTCCAAATCTGTAATCTTAAATTTCCCATGCTTCTTCAAATAGAGCTAATCATGGGACCTTGTCTTAAAGGGTAGAATTATGAATGGTTTTCCCCACCCAAAAGAAAGAGATTCCTTCTGCTTCAGTAACTACTGACAAACATAGCTCCCACAATCTCTAGCTACTTGTGGAAAAGTGTGGAAATATAAGTACTTATTTTTTAAAAAAACACAATAAAACAAAATTATCTGCCTGCTTTGATGTTTGTCATTGAGAATCACCAAATTTCAAATAGTAATAAACATTAGTAAAATAACAAATTTTTCTCATAGAAAAACAAAGCCACCACTTTAATATTATGAATTCAATGGATTAAAAAAAAAAGCCAGATTTTTACCACTGATAGACACACCATGAAATTAAGTGTTGACACTGGTCTTATATGTTAAGTTTTGCATTCCTCAAACTAAATTCATAGAAAAATCTAAGTCAGTACTACTGATAAGGTCGTATTTGCTTATTGAGCAATTTCCTTGCAGTCTAAGAAGTTAAAAATTGGGGTCTATCTATAACATGGAAGTATTTAATTAAATTATTTAGGTAACCAGGGCTGGAGCGATAGTACAGAGGGTAGGGCATTTGCCTTGCATGCAGTCAACTGAGATTCAATCCCCAGGATCCTGAATGGGCCCCAAGCACCACCAGGAGTAATTCCTGAGTGCAGAAAGCCAGGAGTAACCCCCGAGCATCGTCAGGTGTGAATCAAAATGCTTAAGAAAAAGAAATAAAAAAAGAAAAATAAAGGAAAGAAATTATTTAGGTAACCAAAAGACCCCAGCTTTTATCTTTAGTTGAAAATAAGTCACAATATTGGCAATTAAATTTAAATGCCAAAATATTTTCCTTTGTGTTTGCCAATTTTTATTCAGCCTATAAAGGAAAATCAAGTAACTCATACATTTCACATCATCAGTAAAATATCTTCCATCTTGCAAATGTATTAGTAATCAATTTCCCTTCAATCACGAATGCTAGATGACCAAGCGCTAAATGTAGGTATGGGATGTAAATATGATGATGAACAATGAAACCTATGTATTGACATCCGGTTACATCAACGGTGATAGTTCAATTCATAATCAACTCAGTGGTTTATAATCTTCCAACACAGGAACAAGAGGTAAAACTTATCCAGTATATTTTATAATATTTCTTCTTAAAACCACTGGTTATTTTTTAAAAATGCAAAAGAGCCTTAATTTATATTAGAAATATTCTATTAGAATCATTCTAAAGTTAATAAAATGTACAAGGGGCAAAACAGGATCAGAAATACATGCTGATTGGTCAATACATATTGACATACACTGTCAATATATGTAAGATGGTATTTACAATGAAACATGAAAGCAAGTAACTATGACACTGTAAAGCCATAACCAATCCATGCTAAATCTATAATTCTAAGTGAATTAAAGACTAAGTGAAAATTTTGTTAATAAGCAAATGTAGCCAGTCAAGCATCTAAAGACTGGGGAGGGATTTATGAGTGATACATTTTTTATTATAAAACTGCATTCTTATAAAATTAAAAAAAAAGCACAAGGCCATTGTGAGCCTGAATGTTTTCTTGTTAACAAAATCTACAATCCTTCACTTCACCTATGAAACAAATAATAGCAGTACCTACCTCATGGGGCAGTAGTGAGGATTAATATAGAAAATGTACATTTACATGGCATAGAGGAAGACCTCAGTAAGTATCAGCTGCTTTCCCTCAATAATCTCAATAGCCAAAGAACTTGAAGACCTATAAAATAACCTTACTATAACAAATAATTTATGTTCCAAGATATCTCTGAAGAATTCATAGAATCAGAAGGTCAATTAAGAGACCATTTCTGCTCTAAAACACAATATAATCTATATTAAAATAAGTACACGTGAGCGTGTTTAGGCTATCAGAGCCTAAATGATAACTCTAGTTTCTCTCTAGTAATTGCTGGGGGGTGAGGAGGGGAATGTGAGAGGGGGTCACATCATGCAGTGCTCAGGGATTAGTCCTGGCTTTCAGGAATTATTCTTGGTGTGATTCGAGGAACCATACAGGATGCCAGAGATGGAACCAGCATCGGCAGTAAGCAAGGCAAATGCCCTAACTGCTATACTACCGCTTCGGGCCACACTCATCATTATAAACTAAAGTAGATCAGAAGATGAAGATTTAATCTAGAATTCCATCAAATAGACAGGATATTTTGTTTATATCATGTTCATAATACAAAATGTTAGAAGATTTCCATCGCGATATTTATTCACATGTCTTAAAAGTAAATCTGCTTGTTCTGAAACAATTCCACAAGCAAACGTAAAGATTATAGAAGGTAGTAAGTAACAACTCTTCAAATCCCCAAATATCTACACCCAAAAGCTCTGGAAACAATAGACTGTAGCACACCAGGCTTCTCTAAAATTCTAATTCCGTAAACCCACTAAAGAACATGGGACATTTTAAGACCAAGTAATTTGTCAGCTGAAAGCAAGAGTGAGAGATTTGGTTGAGTGATTTGGTTGAGGTTTAACAGGGGTAAACTTTGTATCTTAACTTCCCAGCAAACTCATTTTCTAACAGCAACAAATAAATCTGGGAAAGCAAAATTTCATGATTACTATTTCAAAAATAGGTGCTTTTAGTGCTACAATTTTGGAATTAACATAATCTATATTATTTTTAAATATTTATTGCAAAATCAAAGAATTACAATCCAGAACAGAAGCTTATGTGGCCCTTAATGTATTAAGATTTTTAGTGCTTACCAATTTTCATCTTTAAATTTTAAAATATTTACTTGTGAGAATTCAAGTGTTTCTCTTAGGACCAAACAGAACTTGAATGCTCAAAACAATTACAAAATATCAAACTTGAATTCTAAGTAAGTTAGACATAAAAATCTAATAACCAAGCTAAAACGCAATCTCAACTAGAGGAGCCCTATGCTGTGCATATGAGAGGTTGGATCCCAATGTAGCTCTGAAAACAGAGCCAGAAGCAGTCCCCAATAAACATACAAAAACTGTACAATGACTTGAAAAAGTTACTTATCACTATGGGAATAAGATCAATTACAGTAATTAAGAAAAAGAATTATTAAGGTTTTAAAAGTAAATCTCATTTCCCCTATTAGGTGAAAACTTGACTAGAGGTGTTTAAAAAGTAAAAACTTGTCGTTTATCCATAACTTTTACTACATTTTAACTATAGTCATACGAAAAAGTTAATATTTAAAGCATATCATATTTTGCTAGTGAATTTTAATTAACCTGGAACAATAGTTAATCAACAAATAGTGAACACCCACGATGCACCAGGAAATCTCTATGAAAGATGGAGTCAATTTTTGCATTACATTTCATCTCTGCACTCTCAATCCCATGTAAAAATAATTTTATGCTGAGCAGGCCAGAGTAGCCATTTATACATCATAAGTTTTAGTAAGTAGAATTAAAAATTAACAGGATTCCCAACTGTAATTTTAAAATAATTCTTATAAAACAGCACGTAATCATAACTAAAAAGAAAGAAAAATTCAGTCAAAAATAAGACCGTTTGAAAATCCAGCCAAACCCATTTCTTGAGTATTAGCGCTAGCTCTTCCCAACCACTTTCCTCTAGCTGGGAATTAGAAAAACTATTCCATTTCAAGAATCCCAAATTCAAAGCAAAATTCAAATATGCAGAACTTTTTGTTGGGCTTTCAAACTGAAGTTAAGTTTGCCATTATCTAATTAGAATTACAAGACTAAACCCAATAAAGTATGTTCTAGTTCTGTAAGAGAATCTTAAAAGCTTTAGTTCTACACAGGCAATGGTAATCCTGACTAAAAGGAATGGACCTAGGCAAGAATAAGTGAGCTTTCTAAACAGGATTAAGACTAAGTATTTTCATTTTGGAGGCCATTAGCTACAAACTATTCTCAATTCCACAGCTGTAAAAGGAAAGGAGACAGATAAAATGGAAGAGAATAGTTGTGTTTCAATAAAACATTATTTACAAAGATGGGGAAAATATGCCAACAACACTCAAAACTGAGATGAAGTGTTAGAAACATTAAAATCTGGATTGGGGGAGGGGAGACAGGAGGTCCACCCAGGTCAGGGCTTATTCTTAGAGGGTTTGGGAGATTATATGGGGTATCAAGGATTGAACCCAGATTAGCTGCGTGCAAGGCAAGCACCCATCCCCGTACTATCACTTCAGTCCCAAATATGTGAATTTCTTTGCATTTAACTTTGCCTGAGTTTCAGTGTGAAAAACTGAAAATATGAGTAAATAAGCAAAAATTCACTCAGGTATAACCAGGTTGACTTATTTCTGCTTTGAATTTCACAAAATACCATTTTCTCTCTGGTCACATGATCTAATTAGGGTGTAGGTTATGCTCAGGTTGGGGGAGCAGAGCAGCAAAGCTCCAATCCTTGCTCAGAGAACCACATGGTGCCAGCCATCAAACCTGGGCATCCCACATGTGCACAACATATGCCCCAAATCCTTTGGGCTCTCTCCCTAAACAACCCCTCTACTTTTTCACAATTCTAATTACTCAAAATTTCCAGTCATACTCAAAAATAAAAAATTTATTAAACATGAAAATTGAGTAAAACTTACAAAGTGCTTCCACCAACACCAATCAGGTTGTACGGGCCCTTTAAGAATTCAGGTTCCACATCTCTGTAGAAAGCAAAAAAAAAAAAAATTATGAACAGATTATTAAAAATGCCATGATTTATTTGGAAACTATGACACTTATTGTAGTTTATAAGGATTACTCATCAAACCACCATGAGACATGCATATTTATGAGCTATGACCATAGTCCAAAGCAGAAAATAAAAGACAGTGAAACAAAATTGTTCTTAAATCTGATCTTAAAGAATTCTTAATCTGGCTAGAGATGAGATGTATCTATACAAAAACACATAAGGACCACACCCCCTCAAAAAAAAAAAAAAACAGGTCCTGAGAGATTTAACAGTGGGTAGGATGCCTGCTTTGCATGTAGCTGACCTAAATTATATTCCTGTTTGCCCAAGTTCACCAGTATCCCTGAATGCAAAGCCAAGGATAAGTCCGAAGCAGTGCTAGTTGTAGCCCCAAAATGACAAAACAAAATTTAAAAACTCATAATGGCTGCTGGAAAGGTTGCCAAAAAGAGCTGAGGACCTATGCAGAAGGGCCAGGTTCCCACTGTAGTGTATGGTCAGCCTTCTGAGCACTGTCAGGCATTTTCCTGAGTAGCATGGGATGTGGTTCAAAAACCAAGCACCGGGCAAAATTTTTCCTAAGCCTCAGTCCTAAGTAACTCCAACAAAATGGATATACATTCTGGGATTCTTACGTGAAATCTACTTGGCAACCAGAACTCAAGGGAACTGTTTAATACAGCAGACAGAACATCAGACAGAATTACATCCTCATCCTTCCACCTAATACACTTTTCTTTTTTTTTTTTTCTTTGCTTTTTGGGTCACACCCAGCAATGCACAGGAGTTACTACTCCTTGTTCATGCACTCAGGAATTACTTCTGGCAGTACTCTGGGGAGCATATGGGATGCTGGGAATCGAACCTGGGTTGGCTGCGTGCAAAGCAAACAACCTACCCACAGTGCTATTGCTCCAACCCCAATTTTTCAGATTTCTAAACCTTCCATCACTGACCTGCAAGGCCATATTTTCAACTCTTCATAACTCATACCATATACCTCAATCAACACCATATTAACAGAAAATGTCAAACTATGGAGGGAGGCAGTTTCCATGCCACACCCTCAAAGAACCATACAAGTGAACCCCATTCCACCACAAACAAGGGCCTTGCCTCCCTACTCTATGATTCCATCAAATCATTTTTATTACTGAATTGATTGACCTACACTCAGCAAAATCCTTCCTAAAATACCTACTTGGTAACAAAAGCAACATGCCCTCACTTATTAGGCTGAAATACCTCTAAAAATTGCACAGGGAAAAGCTTTCGCATTTCAAGCACTGATAGAGTACTGTGCTTTCATTAGTCATTCCTGCTCTGAAACATAATGATCCCAAGGGCATGTATATAGAGGTTCTGAAAAAAGCTCCCTAAAATTTCAATTTAAAGCAAAAAATAATTTTAGGTAATATTAAGCCAACTAAATGCTTCTCACAATTATTAGGTTTCAAGTTTCCAAATTACATAGCAAATTCTGTACTATCTTACCAAATATAAAGTCCGTTTGTAGCTTAAAGGATTGATCATAATCAGTTCAGTAGAGCTCTACTTTACAGTGACCTCCAAGAGTAAATTGTTGGCCCATATTCTCTCTTAAACACGGATCTCACCGGCTTGTCTCGATATTTTGTTGTGTTTTTAAAAATTTTTATTAGTGAGACACCATGCCAACATGGCCGACCCGAGTTCGATTCCTCCGCCCCTCTCGGAGAGGCCGGCAAGCTACCGAGAGTATTCGATATGCCAGACACAGTAACAACAAAGTCTCCAATGGAGATGTTACTGGGCCCGCTCGAGCAAATCGAGTGAGACACCATGAGGTACGATTTTTTTTTTTTTGCTTGCCTACTTCCACTCTGGAAAAGCCTGTGTTCTCTCTCCAAAATGTACTTCTACCCTCACTTCGCTCACCTCCCCTCACACCTTTCTAAAATAAGTTTCTTTTGTTTTTCCTTTTTGGGCCACACCGGTGATACTCAGAGATCTATCCTGGCAGGCTCAGGGGACCAAATTGGGTAATGGAAATCAAACCCAGGTTGCTTGCATGCTATGTAGCAAGCACTCTACCTGCGGTACCGAGTCATCTAAACAAGTTTCAATAAAATCTTTCTTGCTACACCAAAAATAAAAAGTAAAATGCTGAAATACCCTCTTCTCAAATTATTAAATGAAGAAATTTAAAGCTTCCCAAACATAATCTGACATTGAACACAAAGATAAATCTTAAAAGTAATTGGTTTGACCTCAATGGCTACAACTGACTCAAATACTGAAATAACTGCCTAAAGGAAATTCTTCACATGTTGATCTGCTAAAATGCTTACAAAAAAGATACTAATGTGCTTCTGGGTTCCAATCCACCAAACCAGAAATGGATTCAGATCTCAATTTGCACAAATCTAATCACAAATCTTAGTAATAATGTCATCTACAAATCCTGTATCAACTTTTCCAAACCTAAAATAGTTACTTTACCTCCCATTTGAAGGAGGAATATCAAAATCCAATTTCAATTTTGTTCATATTCCTATCTCTAGTATTTTGCAATACTATGAATTCATATTTAATTTGGAAATTTTAAATGTGATGAATAACACTTAGTGTAGCCATTTTGATTGCTGCGCCTTTCAAAATGGCGTTAGACTTTTATTAGCTCATCTGTGCTAATAATCTTGTATATGTGGTTTGTCACCTTCTAATGTCCTTACATTCAAGATTAAATTTGCTATAATACAAATCTACAAAAATTATTGACAAAGTCACAAATTTATAAAACTCTTAGCACAAATCACAAACCAAGTTAAGCCATGTATATAAATAATCTAAACTTAAATCGTTATTATTACATAATACATACTAAAGTTGTAACTGCTTACTTGAGAAATAATATCAAATAGTTTACTTTCAAAAAACAAGAGATATTCAAAATAATTCTAGCTATGTACATACAGAAACCAAAATTTACTATAAAAACTGTGCAATAAGAATGTTATTAAACAATCAATCAAGTCACACATATTTTTCATTTAAAAAGTTCAGAAAATCTTTGAATTTAAATTTTTAACGTTAATTATATCAGAAATAACAGCCAATTTGAAAATTTTAAGTCTGTAGTAAATCATTCCACCTGAAAAGGCAAAGAGTGTTTTTATATTTTAAAAACATTTAAGCAAATTAAATATCACACCGGGCACATAAACTATAAACATTGTTATACAATTCCAATAGAGAAAATGTTACATTAAATATGCTGTCTTAAGTACCTGCAATGATTTTTTTCTAAATTTCAAAAATAAAAATGCTTTTGAGGCAGCACCCTAAATATTAAACGCAAATAATATCAAAACAATGTTATTCCTGTACTGCTTTTATTCGGGTTATTAGCCTCCATGTAGTATCTGACCTGGAGTGCATAAAAATAGAAGTCAGGTACATCAGAGTCTTGATAATATGCCAAAATTTCCCAATGACATGTATGATGCACAATGCAGTAGCATACAAATTAGTCTCTATAGTTTGTGCAGAGAGAAATAAGATGCAAATTGCTATGGATTTTTCTACAACCAAAGATATGAGAAAGGAAACTTACGAATGTATTATATACTTAAGGCGACTAAACTCTATAGTAAATGAGTATCAAGACTCCAGCGTGGCGAGTTGACATTAGAAACTGGGTCTTCTGCAGGCTACATGAGTTCTCTTCACTCCATCACACACTTCCCATTAATGCACAAGATGGAGATAGCCCCAAATTATCATTTTCCCCTTTTGCTTCAACAAAGAATAAAATCTTGAAGCAGGAAAGCAAATTTATTGTCCAATCTAAATTTTTTAGTAATTGAGAAACAATTCAGAGGACAGTCAACTTAACCTGAAAGAAAAATCCATATTCAAAAATAATGTAACCTGGATGTGAATCCAGGCTCATGAAAAACTTGCAATAATGGGAGCAGCCTCCTTCATGTCTATGGAACACCAGATAATTATTAAAATTATTAATATAATCCCACTCAACCATCAACCTGATCATGTCTTTAATGATTCTTAAATTGGCTCGCAATTTCAATAACATTTTATCTACAAAATGCTGCCCCTTCTACAGGCTTGGCACATGAACTGAATCGCCAAATAGTAAAAACATAAACAGGCACTATCATACAAGTCTACGTGCACGAGGATTTCTTTAAAATTCACTGTGATCCTTTTTCTTGCTGCTGATATATAATAATTCAATAGTGATTTAATTTTGAAGGTACCAGGTCATTTACAACTTAATTATGATACCAGAATAAAAATCATTTTAACATTTCTGGCCTCCTTCAAGCCATTTATTATATGGTTTAAATTACACCTTTGGTGGGCCGTAATAATTTTATTGCCTATTTGTACTTAAGCTTATGCTATGCTTCACATGTTTGTATTTTAAGCGGCTGAATTCTGCATTTTTACCCGTGTCCAAACACATCTGAATCCCAATCTAGCAGTCTATTATTTCGCATCCGTGTTAAAGCGGCTTAGGCTGAAAGATATTTTCATGTGCTGTATATATCATTATGCCTCAAACCAGTATTAAGGTCTAATAATTTTCTTTTGCAAACTATAAAGACAAATTTGATGGACTGAAAAGGAACTGAGAAGGAAAAAGTTACCTAACAGCAATGGCAGAGAAAGTACTTGCCTTTATCATAAACTAAGATTAAAAAACAAATCTAATAGCAATAACAGATAGATGACTTTATCTTCCAAACATTTTATACAGATAAACTTGTCCTTTTAAGAACTTGATTGGCTATTAGGTATCCTAAGAATTTTAAGGTAAGTTTTTTTTTTGGTTTTTTTTTAACATATTTCCTCTGGTCCATTCCATATTATAACCTGTCATTCATTTCCAGATTTACAGTTAACCCACCAATAAAGACTATTTCCAAAATACTGGTACCTTTTTTTCATTCACACCTAGTGATCAAAACGTATAAACACTGAAAGTTATTTCTACATTTTATGACTAAGAAATATAGGAATCCATTTTCTACCTTGTGAAAACTCAGAAATAGACAAAATATTTTAAACTCACTAATACCTACAATGTGAAAGGCCTATTTTTTAAAATATAGTTCATATAAGAATCCTAGTATCAACAAAATCAAAATTCTAGGCCATTTCTAAAATGTAACCTGTGCCATAAAAATAGCCAAAAATATATCCATTTCATAATGGAAAGCCATTGTGATGACTCAACTCGACTAGCTCGTCATTCTGAAACGCCATTTTACTGGGAAGTACTGAATGTCTTATTCGTCTGCTATAAATTACATATATCAAATGTTTTAATAGTAATGTGAAAGTGCTTTGATATAAGTAATCAAGCTTAACGGGCTTTTTCTCATTTTTAGAGAAGAAAAATACAGTGACAAAACTTTAGAAGTATTTTTAGAGGTGATTAGATTTTCCTTTCTAAATGTCTGTAGTTATTACATTTCAGATGTTGTATTAACATTTATTAACATTACTTACTTGTTATACAAAATATTTTCACAAAGATTTTCTTTATTTTGAAAGATAAAATTCAGGTCTCAGTCTTCAAAATGGCATACCTTTTGACAAGAAAAAAAATTCCTAATTTATCGATGACATAACCCAGTCATAAAACTATGTATTTTCAACTTTTCATTACATAGAAGAAAAACTGATTATATTTAGCATTTATCAGAAAATCTCATTTTTGATGTTCTGACCTAAATCTATAAATTCTTACCAGAAAAAGCAACACTATCGAGTTCTCCATTTTTCCCCTTAAAACTGCTTGCACAGTATCTGGTAAGCAGTGAGATAAAAAGAGAAAAATGTATCTGTATGTCTTTAGTTGGTCCCAAAATTAAACAAAGGATTAAAGGACCTTCAGTATTTTAAAATATTCAAAATATAGACTAAGTTGTAGTAAGTAGTTTTCATTGTGAGAATTAAAAGATTTGTTAAATTATTCTAGATATTTAGTTTACTCTGAAATTTCATAATCGTTGCTTATAAAAATATACATAATCTAAGAAAATAAACACCTATTAAGCCTATTTTAGTTCAAAAAGAAATTTACCCAGTCTTACCTCAAAAGAGCTGAATTTGTTCAGAAACATCAACCAAATTTATTTTAATCTTGTAAATTCCTTAAAAAAAAAAAAAAGATGTCAATGTTTATGATTTTTAAACATTTCTTGGCCAAAGTTTCAGTATGATGAAACAATGAGTAAATATTCCAAACACATAATCTAGAGACAATTTTGAGATGGCTCATCTGCATAACCTGTACATTTAAGATTGTTGCTGTTATATCTTCATACCTATCAGTCTTTGTTTTCTTCATCTTTTGGTTGCATGGCCAAATACTAGAAATTAATGCATGGGGGTTGAAAATATAGAAAACTCTGATCTCTTAGCAAATATTATTTTTCTTTAATATTAAGCAACACTAAAGTTCAGCCATTTTTAAAGACAGAAAATCATTTAAAAATTCCCTTTACCATCCATAAATACCTTTCAGAATTATGAGCAATTAGAATTCAGCTCCTCCAGGAGAAATTAGTGAAGCTAAAATGGCCACTGGTTAAAATCTTAAACCACAGTTATTCGATCTCACCAAGTGGTACATTAGTTTTGTCTTTTAAGAAAGTCTAAAATACGTACCATCTCTGACCTTTACCTAATTTTTCAAACCTAGATCCTCAACATTTTTGATTTCTCCAATTTCCCACCTCATTAAAAAAAAATGAGGTTAAACTATCCCTCATATATACATATGAACACACGTATTTTATATTTTAATTCCACCGCCTCAAAGACGACCCTCAGCAACTGGATCTAAAACAGACACTTAGTACCATATCCAGGGCTCAGAAAATTCCAAACTCTATAGTTTTGCAGATCCAAAATGATTTTTAGACACAAGCTGTGCTAAAGGCAAGATGTGCGCAATTGTTAGACCCTGTAGCCCTGCATGAATTTTTTTTGTATATATTTAAAACCTGCGAAAAATACCCTCGTAAATATGGACATCCAGTCCCCTCCTCCTGGATTTTAAGTCCTACCTCCATCTCCCAAATATGTAGTAAGCTTTCTCACGTTAAGATCTGCAACCTTGACCACCAGAGCTACCGCACGGCGAAGGCAAAGAAAACGTAGAGTAGGGAAGGACACAAAAGGTTCTGCGCATTCCCAGTTTCTGAGCCCCGCAGGATTTCAACTTTTCCATTCCCCTCCCCAGCAATGGAGTCGGAGCGCCCGGAGACCCCGCGGGGCTGCGGAGGGTTCCCGAGTCTCGAGCCCAGGGGGGCTGCAGGCTGCGGAGGGGGCGCGATGGCTCGGCACAGCGATTTTTCGTGCATGTAACAAATGCAACAAATATGGCTCCTCTCGCCCTCGCCGACTCCGAGGCTTCCACCCTCCCGGAAAAGTAACTTCACAAAGGAAGAGATCGGGGAGCTACCCCGGGTTGGGTCCAAGTGGGCCCTTGGGGGGAGTTGCGGGGCGCGCGAGCACACACGTAAATTATTTATTTAATAATGATGATGATGAATCGATGGATTGGAACTTCTAAAAAAGTCCAAGGAACTGACCCAAGGACGTCCTCGCCACTCAGGTGTGCTCAGAGCCGAAGATAACGGCTCCCCGTGACCTTTTGCAAGTCTCCCCCCACCAAAAAAAAAAAATTATTTGCTTGTTATTCAAATACCACAATGCTACACACACACACACAGAGACCCCCGAAATCTTGCTCAGGGAAAAAATAAAACTGGCCCCGTGCAAACGTCACTCGTCCAAGCATCGCTGTCCCCAAAACCACCTCCAATGTCCGCCGAGCAGCGGCTCCCCCGAAACTTGCCTTTTTCCACCCAGCCCTCGCCGCCGTCCTCCAGGTCTGAGACCAGCGGCCAGACCCCACCACCGGGACCATTCACCCCCGCTGCAGATCGGCTTTCAAGGAGTTCAATGCCCCCCCTCCCCAAAAAATATTTGGAAAGGGATGGGGGCGGGCCAAAATCAGAAATCCAATTTTCTTCTTTTGTTATTGTTGTTGACAAGGCGGTCGGGGGCTGCCATTGTTCTGCACGAAAACCGACCCTGGGGACGGGACTTTCTCCCACCTGCCCGGGAACGCTCCGCAGAGGGAGAACCTGCACCCGGGGGGCGGGGGCCCTTCAGGTTTGTTTTCCTTTTCTTTCTTTCGCCCCAAATATCTCCATTAAACTCCCCGGGCCGAGGGCGGCCGCGAGCTCCCGCGGTGGCGCCGCCGCCGCCGCCCCTTTCCCGGCGGGAACGAAGCCCGCGGCCAGGCCGCCCCCCGCCCCCGCCGGCCCCGCGCGCCGCCGTCTCCGCACCGGGGTCCCCGCGCCCCCGCCGCCCGCCGCCCGCCCGCGCGCCCGGCGCCCCGCACGGCCCGGCCCGCCGCCCCCTCCTGCTCGAGCGCTCAAGGACATTCCGCCCGGGCCGCCAAGGACAAAGGACAATAAAAGGGGCCGGGGAGCCACTCACCGGGTCCGAGCGCGGCCGCCGGCCCCGCGGGGTCGCCCGGCGCCCGCTCCCGCGCCGGGACCGCCCCGACTCCCGCGCCGCCCGGGCTCCGGGGCCAGCGTCTCGGCGGCCGCCGCGCCGTTGGCGGCGTCGCTGGGCCCAGCCCGGCCCGGCCGCCTCGGCCGCGAGCTCCGGCGCCGCCGTCCGCGCCCGCCTCGCCTCAGCCGGCGGCGCCCCGGCAGCGCCCGGCGAGCCCCCAGGCCGCGGCGGCGCGCCTGACAGCTCGGGCTGCTGCTGCCTCTCCGGCCATCTTGTGCCGAGTGTGTGCCGTCTCCCCGCCGTCTCCTCGCTCGGCTTCGCTCCCTCCTCCTCCTCCCCCCCGCCCCACACACCACACAACATGGCCTCTCCGCTCTGCGGCGCCGGCTGCGGCGGCGGCGGCGGCGGCAGCGGCGGCGGCAGCTCCGCGCCGCGCGGCCGCCCGCTCCCCGCCCCCACCCCGCCTCCCGCCCGCAGCCCCGGCGCCCAGCGCGCAGGCGCGCCGGCGCCCGCCCGCCGCGGCGATTGGCTGCGCGAGCTTCCTGCCAACCCTTCCCTTCACGCACGCTCGCTGGCGGCTTCCTCCCGCCTTGCTGCCGCCCTATTGGCCAAGGCTGGCCCCACCCCCTTCCTCTAGCTCTACGTCCATAGGCCGAACTCGGTGCCTTTCACCTGCCGTAGCTGTTTCTGAGTTTCTAAAGGGGCCCTGGACGGCGATTGGCTGGGGGTTGAACCTTTGGGTTTGGAGCGGGGCTCAGGCTTGGCGCCCCGCAGTGCGGACCCCCTGGTCTGCCTCTGGAGAAAGGGGGCAGGTTTTGGTGCACCTGAATTATTCTGGCTTATGTGCCCTGCACAGAACGCCTTCTGCCCCTGGAAAAAAAGGCCAGGATTCGTTTGTTTCCGAGTTTAGATTTTTGTCTTCTATTTGAAGACGACAGCGATGATTGACAGCGATGACAAGCAAACGAAATGCACGTTCATAGCTGTTGGGCAAGCGCCATGTCTTAACTGTAGGACTGCAAGATTTCTCTTGTGATCATCCAGATTTCCCATAGGGTCATCTCTGGTTGGGTCTCTAGCTCAGTATCCATAAAGATATGCTCTTTGTGGGAAGGTTTCTAAGCTGCCCACTGCCCATTTAAATGAGGCAGGCAGTATACTCATGACCAGTGACTGACCAGTGGCCGTCCAGTGTCAGGAAACTTTCATGAATCTGGTTCATAATCCAGATTGGACCAATTCCACCCTCCAGGGCCGTGTTTGTTAAAGAGGTAGTAGTTTGAAGTCAAAATCTTTCTATCTACCCAGCCCTGCTTGGGAGCATCAGGTCAAACAAGCTTCCATTCAGCCAGTTTTGCTTTATTCTCTGTGCTCTCCTTCCTCCATCAATCTGATAGCAACACCAGCAGAACACAGATGTAACTGAAAACTAAGCTCTGTAAAATAAATAAATAAAGTACGGGGATGGAGAGAGAGGACAGTGGGTAGGATACTTGCCTTCCACACAGCCGACCCAAATCCCAGCATCCCATAAAGTCCCCCAGGCACCGCCAGGAGTAAATCCTGAGCATGATCGGTGTGGCCCAAAAGCTAGCCACAACAACTATGTCAAAACTTAAAATAGGGGCTGGAGCGATAGCACAGCGGGTAAGGCACTTACCTTGCAGGCAGCCAACCCGGGTTGGATTCCCAGCATCCCATATGGTCCCCCGAGCACCGCCAGGAGTGATTCCTGAGTGCATGGCTGGGTGTGACCCAAAAAGCAAAAAAAAAAAAAAAAAGACAAAAACTTAAAATAGATGAGTGCATGGGAGTGGGGGAGGGAGGTGGCTGGATGCCTAATGTGCATGCACCCTGGGTTTAATCCCCAGTGCTGCAAAATAATAATAAAGTAAAATAAAGTGGATGGAAAAGTCTAGAATGCATGTTTTGCACTTAGTTTTAACAGATTTCCTCCTTTCTTTGAAGGGAGGGGTCCTGGGGTTTGATAAGCATCTGGTTAGTTCTCTTGATACCTTGACCTCCTTGTTGCAATCAAAGGAAGTTAAATGCTCCCTGTGGCCTGGGAACTAGTCCTGATCCCTTTAAAAATTATATCCTTGCCCAATAGTTCAAAGGCCTGAATCTCATGCTGTGCACATGAGAGGCCCCACGATTCAATGCCCAACCCCAGAAATAACGTCCCCCACAAGCTCTGCCTGTAGTTATCCCCCAAATACAGTCAAGCACCCCCAGCATTGCATGGCTCAAAAACCTAATGAATTAAGTTAATTAAAACCACCCTTGTTCATTGATGTGGTTTAATATGGCCCCAGTTTCTGAGGGCAGAAATGGAAGCCAAGCGTCCTCCCTGAGAAACCCACGGTTTCCACTCCATAACCCAGCTACTCTCCCTAGCTTCCACTTTGACCTTTAAGAGGACAAACAAAAAAGAATTCTCCTTTCACTGTGAGTAACCATTCCCCACTTAACTTCCCAGAGAGTGTCCTAACACTGCTTAGCTTTGAACTTTGCAGACTTGCAGAGAGGCAGTTTTCTCTGAAGGAGCCCTTCTCTGAACCCCCTTTTCCTCTTCCCTGGTGATGTTTTTTAGTAAATTATCATTCACCCACTGTCCCCACTTCCTACCACAGCCTGAGATCCATCTGTGAGTCTGACTTTGCAGACTCCTCGCCAAGCACTCCTGGGCCAGTACAAGCCCCAACAGGTCTTTCTTAAAAATCTTCAGAGCTGCAAAAACAATGAAATTAGACGCATGCTGGTCATGGTTGTAAGCCCTCATTGTAAGGTAACAGTGAATCAACACCTCTCTGAGGGGCTATTATTAATCCCTATATAGTACTACTAGTAGGAAATTAAAGTTCAAAGGATTTTAAGTTCCCAAGTTCACATGGCTGAAACAACAGACGCAAGATTCAACCCTGAGAACTGGCTCTAGACCTTTTAGCTTTGGGGCCACACCCAGCTCAGGGCTTCCTCCTGGCTCTGTGCACTACCACCACTCCTGGAAGCACTCAGAGAACCATATGTGGTATGAGGGATCAAAATGGGGTCAGCCACCTACTAGGCAAGCTGTACTATTTCTCCCATCCCTTCCAACTTCTTTCTGTCTATAAGACAGAGAGAGGTCCAGTTTGATCTTTTGAGGGGAAGGCACTCTCTCTTCTACTCTCCTGACGTGTTCCAACTTCAATTCAGTCCTTCATCCAATTTTTCTGGTGGAAGTATGGATCACACCCAGCAGTGCTCAGGGGTTACTGGCTCTGCACTCCGGAATCACTCCTGGCATGATTGGGGGACCCTATGGGATGCTGGGAGTCAAACCTGGGTTTGGCCATGTGCAAGGCAAACATCCTACCCACTATACTGTTGCTCTGACCCCAGTTCTCCGTCTATTCAAACATAATTTCTGGGGTTTGGAAAGAGCGCTCAATGGGCAGAATTTTTTTTTTCAAAACACCATGTGGTACAGTTGTTGACCTTACAAATTTTTGTACTTGGGTTTCGGTCATACAATGATCGAGTACCCATCCTTCCACCAGTGCCCATTTTCCACCACCAATGGTCCCAGTAACCCTCCCACCCCTCTCATACCCCCATCCCATCCCACCTCTGTGACAGGGCATTCCCTTTTGTTCTTTCTCTCCTTTTGGATGCTAAGGTTTGCAAAAGAGGCTCAATGGTCAGATTTTGCATGTACAGGTACATCCCTGTCACTATCTGGTCCCCTGACCACTGGACCTCACCGCAACAGAGCTGAGAACTACTAAGTGTGGCCCAAAAGTTGAAAAAGAAAATAAAAGCCAAGACTGGACAGTCAGTACAGTGATTAAAGCACTTGCCTTGCACGTGGCCAACTGAGGTTCAAGCCCCAGCACCACAAACGGTCAGTCCCCTGAGCTCCACCAGGAGTGAGTGATCCCTGAGTACAGAGCCAGGAGTAAGCCCTGAGCACTGCCAGGTATGGCCCCAAAGCCAAAGTAAAACATTATTTAAAACCACCAAACCTGACTCCCTAAACTGGGCCATCTCCTCCTGCTGGCATCTTGGCATGCCACCTGGGAAACACCAAATTCTCTTGTGTACCTCCCTCTGATTACGGGTCTCTGAGTTTCCAAGGGGATGCCCTTCCATGAAGGTCATGCTTGGGTAACTTACAGTAGTTTTCTTCTCCCACCTTATAGCCCAGGCAAAGACCTCTCCAAGGAGGCCCTCCCCTGGCCCCACGGAACCTGGTCCCTAGAGGGCTGATGGCCAAGATTTCTTCTGGTGAATCTGCAACGCATCTCCTCTCTTCCCTGATTAAAACTAGACCAATTCTCTCTCAAATACTACTGAACCTGGCAGGCCACATCCTGTCCCTCCAGAGCCCTTCGGCATGCGTGGTGATTTGCCACTTAACCCAGAGGAGAGAGCGAAAGAGAAAAAAAATGTGCATGCACAAACGCTCACACAGACACACACACACACACACACACACACACACACACAGAGGCTTCTGTTATTGCTGTTTCTGTTCTGTTTTTCTTTTGGAGTTACACGCACCATTACTCATGTCTTGCTCCTCACTCTGTGCTCATGGAACACTCCTGGCGGGGCCCACGTGCAAGACAAGAGCTCTCCCCAGTACATTATCAATCTGGCCCTGTTACTGCTATTTCTTTCCTAGAGAAGAAGAATAACAGAACCCTTGCTCTGACTTGGCTTGGGCCTGTGCTCAGAGTCACTCTGTCATTGTGTCCAGAAGAAAACGGGGGAAGGCAGAGCATGTTTCTGGAACATTCTAAGGATCTGTTTATCGTGGTCACCTTCCAGGAGGGCGTCTCCAAAAAAAAAAAAAAAAGAATGTGGGAGGGAAACTGGCACTCTATACTCATGACTGGGCTGTCCCCCTCTCCCCACCATTTTGGTGGCACCCCCAAGCAGTGCACGAGACCTGCATTACCTGGAACCATGTGTTGCAGGGGGTGGAATCAGGCCATCCTGGTTACCGAGTAAGCAATCAGCCCTCCAGCCCCAACCTGGATATTCTGAACCAGGTGAATGTATTGCCTTTCTGAAAAAGAAAGAATCCAGAACTCAGAACCTGCTTATGAGTAGACCTATTTATTAGCTGACATTCTTGAAGAGAAAGCAAACTTTTGTTTTTCCTAACGTTACTCTTTTGCATTTCTGATGCCAGGGTTCAAAGTCAAACCTTTTACATGCAAGGCTTGCACTCTTCTCTCTCTCAGATTCCTCAGCCCTGCCACTTCTCTCTTCTCACTATTTTTTATGGGCTACCCCTGGCGGTTCTCAAGATTTACGCCTAGTTCTGTGCTCTGGAATCACTTCTGGTAGGCTCTGGGGACCATACCCCCCTAACTTTTTAAGTGTGTCATCTGCATTTGCTAGAACAAACCTCTGGAACTTTTGGGATTCCCCATCCAAAAAAAAAAAAAAAG